AAAGTTAAATATTAATACTTTAAATTAAACTTTGCATCGTTAAGTGAAATATTTAAGTAAAACACCTTTGTTGCTCAATTTATCTGCGAATTACCATTAGATTAGGTTCAAACAACGTCGTATCTCGTCGGGAAACCTTGAATATTTCCAGTAAAAGACTTTCGAGTGCAAAGGGTTAAACAACCTTCGTCCGTGAAGGGTTGAACTATCCCGAATCTTTTAAACGTGACTCAACTGATTTCAAGATCCCCGAGTGGCGGACCGTTAAGTCCGCTCAGCCCGAAAACAGTACGTGCTCCTCGCACAAGGATTTAAGCGCGGGCAAGTCCGCTTCCCACGTTTGGGGGAGTCGCGAGCATGCTTCAGCGAGGGGTGTGTTCCCGAGGGTGGGAGGGACTGGGGCTTTTGTTTGGGAGACGCAGAGGGTTCGCTGCGAGGGTGATTTGGCGATCGATGAGTCGAGGGTGAAACGAGCGACGATCGGTTTATATATTCGTCGCGTTCGCAACGGCGTCCCCTACTTTCGCCCTTAACACGCTCACTGCCACATGTACCACATATGGTACACGCGGATTTTTCTGGAGAAATATTTTTAACCCTTTGCACTCGGAAGTTTCTCGCTAGAAATATTGAACAGTTTTTTACGAGACTAAGACGATATTCTTTGCAACTAACTCGAAGGGGAATCACAAGTATTTTATTCAAATTAAATTAATATTTCAGGTATCGGGGTATTATACAACGTTTGATATTAAATATCAGATTTTATAGTTTTACTGTGTCAAATCAAGTGCAAAGGGTTAATATAATGTAGTTTGTAATTTCTAATAAGAGCATCTATAGGATTCGTTTCATTTTCATTGTGTGAAATGTAGGATTAAGGAAGCTATAAATATGTGTTAATATTTTCTTACAAAAATTGGACCTTTAGACCATTTTATTATAGTTATGCCATAGCAAAAAACAGCAGGTACAATGATTAATCATTTGGCGTTATTATCCTCGCGTTGCATTATTACCAGCTTAGTCACGTTATTAAACATTCATTAGACATCCGTTATCTCGCGTGTTACGATTGTTTCCAAGTAATTCAGAAGCGTCAATGACTGTATACGTTACAAAGCACCGAAAACAAAGAAACAATATCAAAATATATAATGACCAAAAACTGGAATATAACTTAATATTTTATTTAGAAAATCAATCCAGTGTATAAGCAAAATATAACCGAAATTTCCGTGGCACGGGACGGGTTAAAAATCCGCCATAAAATATCCCATCCCCCACTGTACCGTATCGATCTCTTCGCCAGCTGATTCCAGACCATTCGTGTTTACCAACACAGTTGTTAATACCAGAACTGCGTGGCGTTTAATATGACTAATATATAATCCTTATAAGAATTGTAACAACAGATTATTTTCGGTTTCTTTAAACATTCAGTATAATATTCAAGTGAAACTATTTATTTTCAACATCGTCTTGAATCTTTCATGCTTCGAAGATATCAATGATTGCGAAACGAGGAAAGTGTTAAATTGCGAAGGTTCACGCAATTTCTGGCTTCCATGCACTGTTTTTATTACAATTGTATAATTCAATGTATAATAATAAATTATATATTTAAATAAATAAATGGTATAATATACAGATCGTATAATATGAATCAGTAATCAACCAGTTGTCTAACATATCTATTAACTTCATTTCTCCATAGAGCAATCTTTCATATTAATAAAATGAACAATCCTGAAATCTCATCCTCGCAGAATTTCACCGTTGAATTTAGCAACAAATTCCGTTAACGCGTTTACAATACTGTTTCTCTATTCCCCTCGGCGCACACATTGAATATTTTCATTCCTTTTCAAGAATAACCTTCAAGATTCAAGGATCGAAGATATTTTCAGATTTCGAATCGAACGGACGTCGTATTTACATAGATTTAATGGATCTTTTTTTATGTATAACGAGTTTCAGACAATCGCACGCGTTGCAAATGCATAAACATCCGCAGTTTAGACACAACTGTCGGCCCAGTGATTTGCGGGAATACATTTCCATCGATTTGCCTGGCTAATTAGCAGTCGCGAGGTCGAGCACATCGGGACGTCCTAACGACTCCGCCTTTAATCCGCCTATCGACACCTCGGGCTCCTTTTAATCCTTTTGTTTTCTATTTCCAGTGATTTTCCAGGTCAACACTTCTCCTCCGAGCGTCGCGGAGCTCGGATGCCTGCTACTCCGTCGAGCATGAAATTTCCTGTCTCGATCTTTCGCTATCTCGAAATCGAAAGTCATTTCCACGCAAGGTGAAGCGGCGCGAGTCGCGTTCTGGGGAGAGAAAAAAAAAACATTAATTAAGGCCTCCGCCCGTGCCCGCGGAATGAATTATTCACTCCCGATGAAAAAATACCAGTTTGCCTCCGCTGCATCCTTTATCTCATGAATTAATCATGCTGATCTTGTATCGCTGTCTTTGATCAAGACGTTTTAGGAATATTTGAATATCCAGACAGATTAACCTATTACTGTCGAACATTTTTTCGCTGTGGATTCTTATGGAGTATTGATTGAATCGTTGAATACATGATGCATAGGTGGAATTATCTTATTTGAATATTTCATGTGTAATTACATTATGTAGAACGTGATGTTGGATATCGAATTTCATTATTTTGCTATGTCGAACCGAATTGGGGGTTTTTTCATTTGAAATTGAGAGGGTATTTAATTTAAATAGTATTTGAATAGTATTTAAATTAAATAAATAACAGTAATTTAAATAAGTACTTTAAACCTTCGTATAAAATTCTAATTAGAACCTAATGTCACAATTAATCAAGATTTCGTCTCAAAAACTCTACTAATAGATTTCAAATCACACGTGATAGATTATGAATAAGTCACGATCTATCGATCCAAAGAAATGCCATTTCATTCGTTTCCGAGAATTACATTCTAATTAAATTCTACACGAACGCAAGGGAAACGATTTCGTTTGAAGATCACAGTCCACTCGCAACCGCAGAATTTTAAAGGCAAAAAACACGACGACTCGCGCCGTTTTACTTTGCGGTCGCAGATTTCTGTTTATTATTAGCCGTGCAGTTCGCATTTCCACGTGACTTTATCTGCCGCTTTGCCGGGCAACAAAGATTCCACCTATCCAAACGAAACGGGCTCGCGAGGCGGAGACGAATCACTGTAAACACGATGTTCGTTCTATAAACGCGATGTGACGTAACCCCGTGTCGCCGTACAATTAAGCGCACGTTTCAACACCACTAACGTGCAGCGTCGCGTGAGCCCGCGGTGTTCAACACATCGAAACGCGCCGACGATTCCGTAACAATGACTAATACCTTCGAACAGCTGCGCTTTTTTTTCTGTGCGTTCAGTTTATCGGAAAGTTTTCCGTTCGTTCCCTTATTTCGTGAAATAAGGAAAAATTTGGAATTGAATGAGGAAATTGTAGAATAAGGAAAAATTTGGAATTGAATGAGGAAATTGTAGAATAAGGAAAAAATTTGGAATTGAATAAGGAAATTGTAGAATAAGGAAAAATTTGGAATTGAATGAGGAAATTGCGAAATAAGGAAAAAATTTGGAATTGAATGATTAACAATTTTCTGTGAATATTACCTATTACAATGAGGCTTCGTTAATTTATATATTAGTGTTGCCTTATTTTATTGTTCAGAATATGAGGAAATGTTATGTTGATTGATTCACAATGAAACTCTGTAGAACTTTTCTTTGTTTCTATTGAAATCTTTAACGAGAATTCATTTTTCGAAACTGGAAATTGTGGAGAGGTTTTTATTAATAGATTAGAGATTGTTAATGAATAATTCAGTTATAAAATTTACGTATAAATGGTTGGTAATTGAACGATTTTATCTTTGGTGGGATATTTGTATATAATATATCGGTGCTATTTAGTTGGGCGGGTTAACGATCGATAGGATTGGTATTTCCATTTTTATTAATAAAGTTCTGATGAATGGAGGGAGTGTGCCGTTAGCGGACGCTGTAATTAAGTCTGGACAACGTCGTCCCCGAATATTGCTATCGATTACTGTCTGCCTCCCGACATTCGGTCGTCCGTCTTACATAGTAGGAATATCCGGTCATTTTTGGGTGGGGGTCAAAGAACTTTTGATAGAACGAAGATGGAACCGTGGATTTTTTTAATATTTAGAGGAAAATGTTGTGAAATAGGGAAATAATGTGTATAGAACATGATGAGTTAGGTTTGGTCTTTACAAAATTCATTATAGTACAGATTATAATTGATTGTAGTCAATATTATAATCAGCTATAATATTAACTATTATTTTAGTCAATATTGTAGTCAGTATTATAGTTGATATTATATTTGATATTATAGTTAATATTATAGCTGATTGTAGTCAATATAATAGTTAATATTCTAGTTGCTATTATAGATGATATTACATTCGATACTATACTTAATATTGTGTCAGTTTTAATTACAAAAACTCCGTTCCTCTATCTGAATTCAATCGCAAATTCTCCAATTTCGACAAAAAGTTAAATCATACCCACCGTGCGTCGCCTTTAACCCTTTCCCTCTCCAGTTCCGCCCGGTCACGGATAATGTCCGCTACAACAATACTCGGAAGTGGCGACGACGATCCTCTCAGAAGCGAACCGAGAATTCGTATTTTTATCGGCGGCCTTCGCACCTCTGACGCGATTCGTTATTTTCTCATACGTTCGCCTGATGTTTAATAAAAACTGTACGCTCGCTCTTTTTATTTATTTCTTGTCGCTACGAAGATAAGTGATCCGCTATTTTTCGAGCGGATCAAATATTGATTTTAAAGGAGATCGACCGACTGCGCACTTTTAATAATATTCGTGTTCGATCCGCGACAGCCTTTGCCATTTTTCCAAGAGAAACGACGGAGATATTGTGACGATGTTGGAACAAAATCATTGTACATTTAAAGCTTAATTACCGTTTCAATAAAATGACACTAGTTACTACTAGAAATACTACTAGAGCTCGTTAGTCTGTTCCAATTCCTCACTGGTGTCATCATTGAAGTTATAAAGAACTGGAATTTCGAAATAATAATAATTGTTCAATTATAACGATACTTCATTAGTAGCATCATTTTTACCATTATTTAAAATTCAGATAACAATAAATACATAATAATTAAGGTAATAGCAATTGATTCATAATCGAGTTTAACTGTATTACCACAACAATAATTTATCAGCATTATTAATATTCTCATTTAAATCGAAATAATTGAGATAATAATCAATAAACACACTGTAATTAAGGTACTAACAATTGATTCATAATTCAGTATAACGATATTACCATAACAATAATTTATTAGTTATACCATCATCATTGGAATTTGAATCGAAATAGCAAACAATAAATATATGGTAATAATACAATAACAATCAATTAACACTTTGCCACGGCCGTCACCGATGACCGGAAAATAGTTATGACTTGGAAGATAATTGATTTCGAATACAAATCTTCCGTAAGAATAAGTGATATATAAAACAATTGTGTTAACCCTTAGCACTCCAGATGGTTTTGTAACATACCAGCAACTGCAACTAATTCTTATGGTATCTGTAGTGAAAATGAAAAATGCTATAACACATCTTCGATCTTTTAATAAAAGTCTAATAATTAATAACAGAAAATTTAATAATTATAGGGTAGTTTCTTTGATTCATTAAAATATTTAATATTACAACTGGTGCAACATTGGAGGCTACAGAGTTCAAAGGGTTAACAATCAACTGTAATTCTCCTCGCAGACTCTGGCTTCGTGGTACTCCAAGGTACAACATACTGGACGGACCTGTTCGTCCGGCACTTCCTTTTCCAAGCGGAACACACGATCGACGGCGACGACCTGCTCTTCTTTGTCCGCAAGAAACACGTGAAGACCTCGTCCAGGTATCTGCCGAAGTTCGAGACGGAGGTGGACGTGTTCCGCAAGGACAGCAAGAAACTGCCGATCGGCGATCCCGACATCGATTGGGAGGAAACCGTGTACCTGAACCTGGTCGTACATCAGTTCGACTACACGCTCACGTTAGCGATCTGCACAAGAACAAGCCCCAAGGAATTGCAAGTGAGACTCTCCTCCCGATTATGCTTAACCCTTTTACGGTCCCGAAGATCCCATGAAGTACCATTCCCATTAAGGTACTTCCACGAACCTGACACGCTTGGACTTCGATTTTTTCAAGTAACTAATCATTTACTGGAACTAGAATAGAGAAGGTTACCACCTTCCATTTAGAGCTCCTTCTTAATTTTTTTTATTGATCAGCTGACTAAAGACATCTAATACTACATAGGAAATTGATGATATTGCTCCAAGAGCTTCGAACAATCAAATCTTAGTAATTTGAGTGTACTAATTTACGTTGTAATAGCATCGACACATGCTGGCTCTAATTGTCTAGTATTTGACATAGACACCAAAATTAAAAATAATACCATCTAGAATATAATCTAGACAGAAGGAATCTCTCGATGAATTAAACAAAGTAGCCATTGATCAACGAAGCAGAGGTCATGCTCGACTCGAGAGTTCGAGAGTTCGATGCTCGACTCAGTAGTAAATTGATCTTTAGAACTACTCGTCTACGATCTCTATACTCATTCTAAAAGTTACTTATTAGTCCATTTCCCATAACTACTCAATCAAACCTTTCAATCTTCGAACCTCTAAAAAAAGCCTACCTTGCACAGCTCCATTACAATCTTTATTATACAGACACAGTGCTGAATCCTTTCTCCATTGGACATCTGCATTTCGGAACGCGACTTTCACCCAGCTTTAAAGTTCAGAGTTCCTGACGAGCGGTCGCTATTTCCAGGTTCTACGGAGACACTCGCAAAAGGTGTACGCGAGCCCGAGTCGCCGGCGCATGGATGCCAAGGGTGATCTCGAGGAGATGACCTACCCGCACATCTGCTTCATGGTGGACAATTTCGACGAAGTTTTCTGTGATATTCTAGTCAGGGACGGTGAGATGGTGTGCGTGGAGCTGGTCGCGTCCGACAGAGAGGGCGCCATTCAGGGTGTGATCTTCCTCGGCTCTATCCGGTACGACGCGCTCAAGAAAGTATACGACGCGAGGGTACGTCCTGACCAATTAACGATTGTCCCGTTCGCCGGGCAACGCGTCTCCGTCGTAACGTAACGCCTGTCGCATCGTTTTTGCAGTCTAGCTTGAGTACCAAGATGGCGCAACGCATGACCTTCGGCCTGTTTTCCGGCGCGGCTTCGCAGAGAATAGAGTTTGTTCGGATGAAAGGACCTCGTGGTACGATCATCGAATGTTTAACTAACATACAACGTCCTACCTTACGTTTTCATCGTTTCTTTGTTTTTTATGTACTTCTTCTCCCTTCGTGTCGCTTTGGAGTCGGTACAAATTGATTTGTTAGTCAATTATTACTAGTTAACAAGGTGGATCTATTTTTCGAAGGACATTACGCTCTTGCCTCTCAACTTGTTGCTTCCCAGTTCGGATTCTGCTTGACGAAATTTACGCCTGACGGCTTTTCTTCATGAGTAACAATTACACTTCGAATTGACTCATTTCATATGTAATTCCCCTGGTTCGTAATTGTGTTTCTGTTTGCTTCTATCGTGTTGTGTGCGGTTGAAATTGCTGCTAGTACTTTTCGGGTGGATAAGGGATTTTTTATCTTTTATTGTGAATCGTTGATATTCCCGAAAATCGGTCCACCGTAAAGATGTATTGAATATTATGTATATTCTCGTTTTAATAATATTCGTTGTTACCGTTGTAATTGTATTACAACGTTGCAATGTTTGTAATATAATTATTGCAGTCAATGTTAAATATTATAATAGTGTAACATAATTATTATACTGATTAGCTGTTACAATACTATAACATTATTACCCCATCAATTATTAATTATTATAATACTAGAATATTATCACGACATCAATTACTAATTATTACAATACTGCAACATTATTACGACATCAATTACTAATTATTACAATACCGCAACATTACCGCAAAACTAATTACTATGACCTATTTCAACACTACATTATTACCCCATCAATTACTAATTATTATAATACTATAACATTATTACATCAAGTACTAATTATCAAAATACCAACATTACCGCGACACTAATTACTATGAATTATTACAAGACTACAATATTACATCAATTATTAATTATTATAATACTACAATATTATTACGACATCAATCACTAATTATTACAATACCAACATTACCTCGACACTAATTACTCTGAATTAATGAAACACTACATTATTATCGCATCAATTATTATTATAATACTATAACATTATTACATTACTTACTAATTATTACAAAACTACAATATTTCAACAATGATCGCATTAATTATCCTCAGTATGATCAACGCCTCGATTTCCAGGCAAGGGACACGCAGAAATGGCTGTGACGAAGCCGAAAGGGTCAGGCGCTGAGACCCCGACCTCCGAACCCGGTTACTGCGCGACAGACTCGCTCTGGGACGCGGACTGGGACGACGCCGAGGAATTGTTCATGTACCGACACCAACGAAGGCTCTCGGACCCCAGCGCTAATCTGAACAATTTCGTTCGCGGTGGTTGGAGGACGAAGCCCGACACGGCGGCGACGAAGGCCAGATCGGAGAACGAGGGTCTGGACTCGATGGCGAACGGGCTGAGCGAGATCGAGGCTGGGGACGTTCGTGACGGTAACTAGAAGCGCCTGTACAATCCGTCTGGGACGATTCATACGCGGGGAACGATCCCCGATGAATCGGGAACGGGACGGAAGCTGCGACACTCTGCGGACCGAATCACTAACAACTGCCATTTGACGTCGCTCGTCATTGAGAAAGTTAACGCTAGAACTGCCGGGTGTTTGATGGCGATCGGTATAGCTGGATTTGTGCCTGGGAAATTCGGTTTTGCGATTTGAATGCTTGGAGATGTAGCATTTTTCGTTGTGGCTGTCACTTGGAATAATGGATTGTAGCTGTAATTTGGAATAATGGATTGTAGCTGTAATTTGAAACACTGATGAACTGTAGCTATAATTTGGAATAATGAATTGTAGCTATAATTTGAAACATCAATGAATTGTAGATATAATTTGAAATACTAATGAATTGTAGCTATAATTTGAAACACTAATAAATTGTAGCTATAGTTTGAAATGATAATAGATTGTAGCTATAATTTGAAATATTAATAAATTGTAGCTATAATTTGAAACATTAATGAATTATAGTTATAATTTGAAGCACTAATGAATTGTAGCTCTAGTTTGAAATGATAATGAATTGTAACTATAATTTGAAATATTAATGAATTGTAGCTATAATTTGAAATGATAATAGATTGTAGCTATAATTTGAAATGATAACAGATTGTACCCATAATTTGAAATGATAACAGATTATAGCTACAATTTAAAATGAATTACAGCTGCAATTAAGAATTGCAATAGATTCCCAATAACTTCTCTCAACATTCGTTACACGCCACTGAAACTATTAGCTTCCAAAATACCTTCAACTATCCACTACTTCCATACCAACGAAGTAAAAATCTGAAACTTTCGACAACTACAATAGTTCTAGCGTTAAAGCCATTTCAACGCATCTCCCGAATAGCTCTCCTGCGATCGACCAGGGTCCAATGGAAAAGAATTATTTTTAAACAATAATTTTGCCTCCGCTTTGCAGACCCGTAGGGACGTCACGAAAGTTTCGCAAACGTTTCCCTTGATATTCCCTACGAGCGCATAAAAATAAAAGGGAGGAACAGCGACGAAAAGGGTGGCTTCCCTCTTATTACAAAAATACCATTAGTCGAATCATCCCGCGTGAGTATCGACTGGTTACCGATCGTTCTCAACGCCACCATTATTTTTCCAAGCAAGTGGGAGTTGTTATTGACCGACGAGCAACACGACCCTTTGCCACTGGTACACCATCGCTCGTCCTTATCCTATTTTCTCTCTGCCTGCGCCCTTCAGGATCGATCGTGCATGCGACTGTGCCACGTGTATATCTCTGTCTTACCGCACAATTCTTTTCTCCTCGATAGCATACGATTAGCCGTGCCGTCCGCGTAGAACAGGACACAAAGATGACACACCGAGCTTTCGTTTACTCCCCAGACCAGCCGAGCGAATGTCCCCGGGTCCCCGAAACTCGACGATCGCCGGTCGACCGGCCGCAAAACGATTGCATGCATCCAACGTCAAATTAATCTCGTTCTTTTCCCGCCGCGACGATCCGGTGTCCGGATCGTCGAGGCGACACGCTCGAGACCGATCGCATCGATCGCGATCGTCGCTCGTAACCGACGCAATCGGTTTCCGAAGACGAACATGGATCAATGAGTTAATCGAAGGAACAGTTTACACCACCACCAACACCACCGCCCGCGTTCGATACGTTTCTCGCTAAAAAATGGCAACCTGTGGAATTGACAAAAGAACGCGTTTGATATGTTTCTCGTTTAAAAAAAATGAATGGATCTATGGATTAAATTTTAGAATGCAAACGAGTACGGATTATGATATGATTCTATGAAGGATCGTCAACGGCGATGCCTTCTGCGTTGATAACGTCGTTGTCGTTTGCCGAAGAGGCTAGATAGGAGTGTTGCGAATGGTAACGTTAGAGGAGAACATTCCGAGCGAGCTCGGTTAGAAACGGGCGAAACGGAAACGGGGAGGAACGAAATATGCCTTGTCTCTAATCAGTGGCACGTGTGCCATGCCGGCTCTTTCCTTTGTAGCCGACCCACAGGATAGCAGCTGGGGCGGCGGGGGCTCACCGGGAAATCACAGGAGTCCTCGCGCCAGACGACGAAGATCCCCGCTTCTGCCCGGCAAGCAACAACGTCCGAAGCAAAAGCAACGTAACTCGTGGGAACGGACCGGCAACGAGAACTCGCCGAGCCGCAAGGAGGCCTATCACGAAACACACGGTGAGCGTGCGCCTTGTGTGTTCGAGATGATCGTTGCTTTGTCTCTCGGAGAGGACCTCGGGATTAGGGGATTGTCGATGGATACGCGATCGGGGACCGCCGATTTCACGGTGAAATCGGCGCGCGAGCCGCTCAAGTTCCTGGTCGTTTGCGGAGAAAGTTCGCGGTTGAGAGAAATCGGTGTAACGTTCGGTACTGTGGAATTTCTTAGATTTGGGGGAAATTGATCGGAGGGTTCTTTACTGTGAGGATTGGTTACTGGGGGAATTGATTGATGTGAGGATTGGTTACTAGGGGAATTTATTGCTGTGGATATTGATTACTAGGGGAATTTATTGCTGTGAATATTGAATACTATGGGAATTGATCGGTATGAACACTGATTACTATGGGAATTGATCGGTATGAACATTGATTACTATGGGAATTAATCGGTATGAATATTGATTACTATGGGAACTGATCAGTATGAACATTGAATACTATGGGAATTGATCGGTATGAACATTGATTGCTATAAAAATTGATTACTATGAAAACTAATTACTATGATAATTGATTGCTATAAATATTGATTGCTATGAACATTGATTGCTATAAAAATTGATTACTATGAACATTGATTGCTATGAAAATTGATTACTATGAAAACTAATTACTATGATAATTGATGGCTATAAAAATTGATTGCTATGAACATTGATTGCTATAAAAATTGATTACTATGAACATTGATTGCTATAAAAATTGATTACTATGAAAATTGATTGCTATGAAAACTAATTACTATGAAAATTTATTGCTATGAACATTGATTACTATGAAAACTAATTACAATGAAAATAGATTGCTATAAAAATTATTACTATGAAACTTGATTGCTATGAAAATCAGTTACTATAAATATCCACCACTACGAATACTACCTATAAAACTTCATCACGCTGAAAATCCATCGCCACAAAGCTCGATCAACGAAAATCCACGAAAGCTTCTCAAAGAAACCCCCAAACGCGCAAGTAAAACTCTCTTTAACGGGAACCCCAATAGCGACTCCAGTCGACGAACGTCATGAATCAATCGTCCCAAAAATTTCTAAAACTCGAGAGTCTCCGACGACCGTCGCGTATCCAGAGACAAAGCAACTCCTGAAAAGAGGCGAAGGAACGAATCATCGGCCGCGCCGCGCGACGCCGGGGCCACACATAGTCGAACATCGTTGTTTCGTGGCAGGCCTCCAGAACCACCAGCACAACCATATCGAGGTCGGTAGCGAGATACTGGTGCCGGCCGCGGCCTGCCTCACCGACGACAACGTCCGCCAGAAGCTGGACGCGGGCGCCATAATGGTCCACGGCAAGGAGGAACTGCCGTTGGGATACGAGGACGAGCAGGACAATAACAGGAAGCGCAGGCCGTACAGCACCGGGCAGATCAATCACGAGCGGATCAACAACCTCGAGAACGACGAGGAGCAACGCCGTCTCAGCGACGACGAGGTGTTCAGGTCCAGGCGGCCGGACGGCCGGCGGCGGCTCCGCTCTGCCGGCTCCGACCACGAGGAATACTACACGGCCAGGAACAAGAACAAAAACGAGGAGCAGTTGAAAGATAAAAACGCGAACGCGCGGGTCGCGCGCGGCAACCTGACCACGCACAGGCAGAGCGCCACCCTGCCCAGGCGGAGGCGAAGACGCGCGTTGTCCGGCAGCTTCGCTGGCAACCCGCTGCCGCCGCACCGCGTCACGCCAGACGGCACAGCGATCTACTATTGGTGCGAGCTCCCGCGCCGCCCCGGCTCACAGGGTAAATTCTTCTTCCACCCTGCTCGACACATCCACCAAACCCCCCATATACAGACTCGATCACCGCGTCTATTCACCGTCTACCGGCACAGGCTGTTCTATGAACGACGCTTTTGATCAGGGCTCGGCGACGGTTGCGACGTCGGTTCGCGACAAGGTGCAGGGTAAAGTCGTAACTGTTATTCCTTGAGTTCTGGAACTCGGTTTGGAAGATGAGGCTCAGTATGGGATAGGATTGAGGTTCGTGCTTTGAATTTTGAAATTATCATTTGGAAGGAAGAGTTTCTGATTTGAGTTGTTTAACCCTTTACGTACTCGAAACAGTTTTCTCCATTAACCGGAAACTGAGAAATCAAGATTCTTAATAATTGCTCCGCTATCCTTCTTATATCTCATATATCCAACAAAATTCGGTTCGTTCGATGCGTCATGAAAGAAATGAATGTCCACGTTTCTGTAAAAAATGTCACCCAAATTCGGGTGATCTATGAAAAGGGGTTTCTGAGTTAGAAACGGAGGAATGAGTGAAATTCTTTGATAAATGTGAAGAAGGAAGAGTTTCTGGTTTGAGTTGATAGGAGATAAAGTTGTAGAATTTATTTAGAATCTATGGGGAGGGGTTTCTGAGTTAGAAACGGAGGAATGAGTGAAATTCTTTGATAAATGTGAAGAAGGCAGAGTTTCTGGTTTGAGTTGATAGGAGATAAAGTTGTAGAATGTATTTAGAATCTATGAGAAGGGGTTTCTGATTTAGAAACGGAGGAACAAGTGAAATTCTTTGGTAAATATAAAGAATGGTATTTATTCTATTTTTCTCAGTTTTCTCAGATTTCAGTTTTCTCACTGTTACTTCTCGGTTTTGAAGGGAACGCAGTAAGAAATATAAAAGCGAAACCAATATCAGTTGTAGAACCGATATAGAACCAAATGACAGTTATGACTTTATTCCGATTGTTCGTAAGTGTTTCAGTCGGAACCGATGCACAACAGTTCCAAACAGTTACTTTCGGGACCTCTTCGATCTTTTTCTGGGGGTCATGAAGTAGGGATGGCATTGTTCGAAGTTTGTTCAGGTGAACTTTATTTTCAGGCTTTCCTTTATTCCTTGTCGATGAGGCTGATGAGGCTGACGCTACTTGGGGTGGTTTTGTCGTACGAGATTGATGGGTTCTTGGGTGTCTGGGGAGATTTCGGAGATTGATCGTCTGGTAGCTAGAATGTGCTGCTGGAAGCGTCAACGGTTTGAATGTTTATATGCTCGTTTGTTTATTTGTAGAGTAAACTGGCGACATCTGTGGGTAGAAGTGCCTGATGTTCCCAACGTAATCGTAAGATAGCTTTGTGACTTTGACTACTTTCATTCTTAATAGCTCGATTAATCACTGTGCATTCGATGTAAAGGAGAAACTATACTCGAGAACACTAGTGTGACTAATAGTCGTAGCGAGAACTATTAGTACGAGAAAACCCCTAGCGCCCTAGACCCTGTCGAATCTAGATGGTACCAGGAACTCGGTCAACTCGCTCCCATTCTTAGCAAATTTGAATAATCCTAGTGTCAGTTAGATGCATGACCTCATCACCGTACACTAACATTTATCTCTCTAATCAGGAGCGTCGAGATCAACGGCGAAAATCGTTAATAGAACATCCGACCAATATCAATGAAACGAAAAGTCTTCCTGCATATCGAACAATCTGAGTCCTGACAGACCGATCTGAAATCACGGGAATACACGGCGTCGCCAACGCCGCGTTATAACTGCGTTACAACTTTGTAATCGAGTTATAACCAAGGAGAACGTCAAAATTTCACGAAAGATTCCGACGAGAAAGCAGTCGGAAACAATCGTTTATTGAACAGCCTGTACAACACCAGACCGTCGACAGTCATTCATAGTCGTTAGAAATCTAAGAAACCCGTGCCTCCGTTCGTGCGACCATGCTCAACCAAATGACTGTGTTTATGAGGATGGTGAAATTGAAACGGCGACGGGAGTTACGATCGCTGGACGCTTGTTCTCGGTAGAATTGCGACGGTGTCCCGTGCTGGTGGTGGTTCCGCGACGTAGAACAATCGGACGTGAGTCGGGAGAAATCTGTTCCGCGAGTTTCACCTCCGGTATAAACATGGTCATCAGAAATGAGATGCGACGCGTTCGTGGAAACGTGAGAAAGAGAGAGAGTGTGTGTTTGTGTGTGTGAGAGAAAGAGAGAGAAAAAGTAGTTTCGTAGAGCTTCGCGGTACGGTTGGTTCCCGTCCAAAAGAAAGCTGTTGCCCACTTAACAGTTTGCGTCAGTGAAGACTCTGTAACTAGATAACGTGACGAAAGAATTATGATACAATACGACTAGTGATCGTTTCCATTCATCTTTGCCACGGAAGAACGAGCGGTACATAGGACCGACGGATATTCTTGAACAACGAAATAGTTCGATGAAAATCAGCGCAGGAACGGGCGAGAATCATGTTCTTAATGCACGAATAGCTAGACTATGGTCATGGGAATTTAGATCTTTAAGCGCGCAATTTTACGAATGGTATTACAACGGTGAATAGTTGGTTTTTTCTCTGAAATGTCATGAGAAGCGTTACTCTTTTGGAGATTTTATATATATTATTATATACACCTTTCTCCATCTCCAATTTTCTCCATTTTCCTGCAAGTTTGACCTTGAATGACCTTGAGTCATAGGTCGTTGAATTCGTCTTAAAACGCACTGTCTGATAGTGGATAAAAGAACGTATCGTTCCATTGAAAAAAAAGAAAGTTGACCTTTATCTCACCTTGGAGTGTTCACCAGGAAAAATAAAAGTTCCACCACATGATTTCCTCCTCGATATTGAACAACTTTGCGTGTAATCAATATTTTCGGAGATATTCGACTGTAACGCTTTATAATTTCCACCCTGTATATATATAATATATTATATAATTTTATAATTATAATATATTATATCTTATGTATAAATTATATATTATCTATATATAAAATTATATAATATATTATATATATTATATATATATTATACAATTTTATATATAGATTTTATATGTATATATATCTCTAATATATTAATATTATAATAAATCTCCAAAAGAGTAACGCTTCTTACGACATTTCAGAGAAAAATATTCTTCCTCAATCGTGCAACCTCGAAGTTTCGAGTTTCCGGTGAACGCATAGAAGTTCGCAGTCGAACGGACGTTAATCTGCGTTAAGTGGATAACAGTCTTCATCCTCTGTTTCCGTAGCGTTCGACCAGTTCCCAGACAATAACCAGAATCCATAGAAACCAGGCAGAAACGAAGTGCATCTAGTCGATCCCTGTTTGTGTTCCTCTGTTCATCGCACCTGTAGCTGATGTATATGTTGTGTTGTGCCACTTTGAACTGTTGTCTGCGGTAGTTAGTCTCTGACCCAGACGTTCCGAAGACAGCGCCGATCATTCGGCGTCGATTCAGCCACTCGAATTCGATTCATTGCACCACGATGCCTGGCGAGGTTCACTTTCCTACGAGTCATACCAGGATCATAGCTGTTCACACCGAGTCCTCGGGGAATACGGACGATAACAATTGACGATCCGTGTGTTTCTCTGTTGGTAGAGCTGGACGACGGCGCTTATAACCCGCTGTGGACGATGAGAGGATTCACTCAGACGTTCCACTTCTGGAAAGAGACCAGGCGGGCACAGTCCGTTCCCCTCAATGCATTTCTCACCTACATCACGTTGCCCTGGTGGAGCATTGCCAAAGGTGCGTGGTCCAAATACTTTGGCTAATTAGTCAGTTAGGGGAGTATTGGGAATATTTTGGGAACTATTGGGAATTATTTTACATTACTAAGCAGTTTTGTTGAAGGATAATTGGGATGGAAAATATTAGTATCCTTCGTCTGAGTTTATTTGGTAAATGCTTAGTATTTCATCAGTATCCAAGTTTATTTAGAAAATGCTTAGTATTTCATCAGTACCCTTCGTCTAAGTTTATTTGGAAAATGCTTGGTATTTCATCAATAACCTCCGTCTAAGTTTATTTAGAAAATGCTTAATAATTTTTCGAGGAAATTTAGGTAGAAAATATTGATAAATTGTTTTTAAGGAAAATTAGGTGAAAAATAATATTAATTCATTTAAGGAAAATTAAGCAGTGGATACTGATCATTTTTCAATTTCGATTAATCGGTTGATTAATATTTCAAGAATATACAGTGTGTTCTGACGAACCTATATTTGTATCGATTCGATGGAAAGCTAGATAACATGTTACCTGACAAATCTCCGTTCTCGTTTTTGCTTGCAGATATTCTTGATCATCGAGAAGGACCTATCCTGACGTTCTAGCCAACGTGAGGCTCTATTTTCAATCCGAACGAGTCCCTTACTTGTCATTTGATTTCCCACTTTGTACGCGCTTGGACAGAAAACTGTGGTCCAATGAAACCGACGATATGTATAGACGAAGAAATAAACGAGATACTATTTACAATCCCACGTTGTTCAATTCACTGTAATCCCTTTCGAATTCTCATAGTTCACTGTACAATTCCCGCGAGATCTAGATTATGATAGCTTCAGCTGTTCGTGGTTTTGGTTTTCCGGATCATCGACAGTATACACGTTCATTTGTATATCTATTTCTATAAATATCTTTAGTTTCCTTCGAACTCGTTGCGTTGTACATTAACGTTCAAAACTTTAATTAACGAACGTCTGAAATTAGCCACGGTTGAGAGCAAAAGGAAAAATAAGTCATTCCATTAATGAATGTAACTCGTTAGAGAAATTAACACATTGAGCGCCGGCCCCGCGTTAATGCAGGATTTTTAGTCGTTCAATTGCTAATCCTACGTTTATGTAACATTTTAGATATATATAACGCAAATCCAAAGTAAAATTTACAAAATCGAATTCCTTATTCTCTTCCGTAAGTTAGAAATTTTCGTTTAATCGATGTTTAACACTTTGACGGATGTCGGCATTTCGATGAGATAAAATGTTCAGATTTGGAAGACTGAGTCGTGGAGAAATGATTTAATTAGTCGAACAGTGAGAGATCGGCACGTAGTTTTCTTTCTTTCTATTAATTAAGCAATTGGTTAAAGGGTTAAAAATGTGTAAATATAATCACCGACGCTCGTGTTTTTAGTGACTGAAATTTTGCCGGCGTTCAATGTAAGAACACCTTGCCATGAATGACAAAATTTGACTTCAACCCTTTCACCGCTACGGATGACTATAGTCACCGACCACAAAAATGGAGCGAACCGTTAAGACAATATAAACAATAACAAAAATACATTCATAGAAAAATTACAAACACATTGCCATGAATACAAATGATTTCTTTTAGACAAAACAGCCGCCGTAGCGAAATGATTGAAGAAAACTCAAACGACCAGGTATATCAATTAGCGTTATACGTAGATTTGTTCTTGAATGTTTACAAAGTTCTAGAAAATCATTCGCTGTTCAGATCGACGTTCAAGAAAGTTGGTAACCTGTTCGTCACAGGTTCAGATTTTGTGTCCATAAGCTCTCTTTATCTGTACGATCTGTTTAAATACATGTACAAAACCGCAATGCTCGGTTATAAAAAGACGGAGGAGGAAATTGGCTGGCACAATACAGAAAGTGACATTCTGTCATACGTGTCCAATACTATTCTAAATAATAAAGGAAAGAAAAATGCAATTACTCGCGTTCGTTGTACTCGCGTTAACATCGAGCACAGTTCGTGCCATCCAGATTATCGAAAAATATCCGCACAGCGAGGAGAGCGATGCAGGTATGAGAGATACATTGTTATTAGCTTCTCAGGAAATTGACGTATTCGGTAATAAGATCAATGAACGGTTTTTGGTATTTTGTCATCGATCTACGGATAATTTTTCTGTTTTCCTATGACGAAAAAGGAATAATCAGTTTCTCTTATAATATCTCGCGAATTGTATATTTTATATAAAATATAAAATATAATATATAATATATAATATAAAATTCGCCAATATAAAATATAAAATATATAACATAAAATTCGCGAGATATTATAATTGACAAAATTTAATTGAACGAAGTGAACACAGTTTGGAAATAAATTTAAAGTGATAATGATTTTCTTTAGACACATAGAGAGGACATTTCGATGAACTCAGTAGCAAAATAGAAAATAAAGCCAAACTTCTCTAGGCCAGAGTTCAATATTATCGAAGAATCAATTAGTTTGTTTAATTTTGTTTTAGAAACTGATTCGATAGAATGTACAAGAGATACGTGGACTGATGTTAACAAGGCAAGGCATTTGGCAAAATGCAGACCACGTGAACGTTTGATTACTTTAAGGCCTGATCCCGGGTACGACTTGTATCCTAGCATGATCCTAGTGAACAGGTGCCATGGAGCCTGCCACCATACTTTGGAATGTCTTCCCATAAAAACGAAAAAAAAGGAGGTCATTGTGTACAAGACAAAGATAGATTATTATAAGCAGCAAGGTTTCACGTGCGATGTCGTTTACGTTGAAGAACACACAGAGTGCAGGTGAGATGGACAAATAGAAGTAGATGAAATTAAGATTAGAATTCGTTCGAATAGATTCGACGGAAAGTAGATTGGAATTCCTCGAAATCGATTGAAAGGAAAGTAGATTGGAATACTTTCGAATAAATTCGAAGAAAAGTCGATTAGAATTCTCGAAAATAGATGAAAAAAAGTAGATTAGAGTTTTCCAGGATAGATTGGGAAAAAAAGATAGTTCCAAATTTTTTAAAATTAATTTTGAAAATTCAACTCATTTTGTTCGGAGTTCAGATTCATTGAGACGCTGAATCACGATGATCGCGATTGATATCAGTGGAAACCAAACCGACACTGTACAGAAAATGTTGAAATACTATTTCCTTGATGAATCATTGCCGAACGGTCGCTGTAATAATTAAACCGGAGTGACTAATTAAAAATGAAATGTATCAAGATTACTATACTTTACTGCGAAAAAAAACAAATTGTTAAAATTCTATCTCAAATGTTAAGTTCAGATATGCAATTTATGTTGGAAAATCATTGAAAATCTCTTTGCCACTTTGTTTCTCAACATTTTCTCTCTACCTCTTCATTTCTGAAAATGTTTCTTCCAGTTCTTTGTTCTTCAAACTTTCTACGAGTTTTTTTTCGCCAACATTTTTCGTGTTGACAGCCAATTTGAATTTTCAGATGCGGCTGCAAAGTGATGAAACGTCATTGCAAGGAGAACCAAGTGTACAACGAGCAGAATTGCTCGTGCGAGTGCAAGGACGAGAAAGCCATGCGCGACTGCAACAATCAGGAGAACATGATGTGGGACAAACGCGAGTGCAAGTGCAGCTGCACCAAAGAGGTGGAAGAATGCTCGACCGGATTAGAATGGGTTCCATCTTTGTGCAGGCAAGTTCAAGGTCACTCGCCGAGCACGAATAAAATCTGACTGCGTTCCTTTTGTGTTTCAGATGCGCCAAGGTGATGCCGTATTGGATGGAGAATAGTATGAATTACACATAGATCTCCGACGAAAAACAAAGAATCTGTCGAAGGTAATTACGCTAGCTAGGCTTCGAATTTGCCTGTAATAAAAGGAAACAGAATTTAGAATGAAATTGTCTCTTCCTTCTTTTTCGTCATCGATAGTTGTACAAAATGAAAAAATCATGAATCGAAACGTGCGTCCGTTGCGACTGCTTCTTCGCAATTTCCATTTCCTAAAGCAGATGTTTCAATTGTACGTGTTTCTAAAATGATTGTAAACTACTCATTATTGAATATTGGGTTGTAGCATAAATGCATTCGAATATATTTCATGTTCTTGTTTTTTTTGTGTTATTAGCTTAATGGAACGGTACAATAACGGAACTACATTTAAGTCGATCGAAAATGGCTTCCTGTTTGTTATGATTGTACAATAAATCGCAATAATTTGCAGTAATTCGCAAATGTTCTTGCGTCCTTAGAACGTTAGAAATATTTACGTTGATCGCAACACTTTGGTCTATAGTACGTTGTCCATCGTCGTGCACCGTCACATAGCTCCCACCAACGACGCCTCGAAGGAGTTCAAGTGGTCCCCGAAATTGGTCCACGTGTGGTCCCAGAAAACTGGATTCGCTTTCTGGTCCCAAGGAAGATTCCCGGGGTGCACCGACGAGTCGTTCAGCCTTTGTATCTCCTCCCATAAATCATTGACAATCTCGGGGAACCTTCAACACGGTAGAAAATGACGATTAACCCTTTGCGGAAGAATGTCGACATTTCGGCGAGATGAAACGTTCATATCTGGAAGATTAGATCTTACATCTCATCAGAAAATCTTCAAATATTTCCAATGAAAAACTTCCGAGTGCAAAGGCTTAATAATTACAAAAAAGAGAAATCCGGAATGGCTAATTTGACGTGTTTGATAGTTTTAGTATTGAATTATAAAATATGTTACGTTAGAAAATATTATTTTATCATATCATCAAATTGTTCGATCATTACGCGTTGCGTATCGTTTAAAGTTCACTCACAGCTTGGCGATGTTATTGCCCTCGCAAGGATCTCGACGGATGTCGAACAAACATGGCGCCTTCAAGGGTTTGCAGGGCGGCAGAGTTTCATTCCTCGGTGGACACTTGACCATCACCGACGACTGGAGTTCTCGAATCCTCTTCGGCGCCAATTTCAGACCGATGCTGGCTACTGCTCGTCCCGCTAGACTACTTATCACTCGCGGCACATCGTAGGCCCATTCTCTACCCGATGGACCATACCAACCGTCCCATTGTCCTTCGTAAGTGGATCCTGCCAACAGTCCACTTACTCTAGATACCATCCATTTCGAAACATTACTATCCTCAGTACAGTTTACATTAGTTAGGATCTCCCTAGAACATATTGATCTATAGGAATTTCTTCTACAGGGAAATTTCTTGGAACTTTGGGAATTTCTTTTGAGCTGCTTCTTACATTTGAAACCGTCAGAAACTAGTGTCTACCTTTAATCAGCTTGTAATCGCGATGAGTGATCGCCGAGATGCCATAAATGTTGTCGATGTTGTGAAGCACAGTTTTCCGGGGCGACTCGTCGTTGTTCTTCAAAGCGTCCCACAAATTCATTCCGTCGATGCTCAAGTCCCACGGATTGCCGCCGGCAGCGTCCAACAGAGTAGGCAGCCAATCGGTGACATGGAACATCTGGGAACCGAGTCTTCCAGGTTCTGGCAACAACTTCGCAGACCATATGAATCCAGCTCCTCTCACGCCACCTGATTGATCAATTGAAAATTCGAATCGATTTACTCGTTGACACTTAGTTAATCGCCTAATAAGCTAATTGGCACGGATATGACGTGCATCGAGCATTTTTCGCAAATAACGCGTGGTAATCTTCAATTCCAAGCGAAATCTGCTTGAAAATTGATTAAATAAGGAATTAAGTGAATCGTTTGGGAGGTAACATTGTTGATAAGAAAAGTGAGAGTTCGTGTAATTAGTTGTGTAGTGACTTGTGCCGAAGCAGAGGGATCTTATTTGATTAGTAGCATGTTAACTTTGTCACGGTTGGATCACCTTCCCATAGCGTGTTCTTTGCGCCCCTCAGCGGCCAATTAGACGCTGCGTTCAAATTGAAACCTGCCGGTGGACCACCGTTGTCCGTGGAGAACACTATTATGCTGTTCTCTAGCATCTGCTTCTTGCGGAGCGCCTCGACCACGAGGCCAACCGATTCGTCCAGTTTGGCTAGCATACCTGATAATCATGGAGTAATTTATAGTGTTCTACCTATATAGAAATGTTACTTCGTTAGAAAGTGTAATATATTCCAAGGTAGATATGTAAATCTCGTCAAACTTATCCAAACGTTGTACAATTATACATTTGTATCAAATTGAAAATCCTATCCAACAAATTCCTGTCAGTTCCTATTAATTCGCGAATTGAAAGTACTTTTTTTCGGTTACCAGCGTATCGGCGTCGATTGTAATCCCGAATGTCGCTGAATCTGGCGACCGAAGGGTCAGGTGCTGGCAGGGGGTTGTAGGGATTGCCGGAGTGCACGGCAGCGTGAGCGAGGTAGAGGAACATGGGACGAGACGTGTTGTGAGCGTCGATAAGTTTCTCAGCTTCTCTGGTGAAAATATCGGTGGAATATTGGCCGTGGAGGTCCCATGCTGGTTCTAGGCCCCGTCTCATGTCCAGGCCCCAATAAGGCTGCCATTAATATACACAATTTTCAATATCAAAAGTGATTTGAAAAATATAGAGTTTCACTAGAATACTGTAGAAATTAGAGAAATCTACTGTTACAATTTTTACAAGAATTACATTGAGTTATGACTGATTCGTTATGAAATGGAATTATATTTAATACGAGACCATTTTTATGTTCAAATATGAATTATATTGAAGATGAGACCATTTTTATATTCAAATATGAATTATATTGAAGATGAGACCATTTTTATATTCAGATATAAATTATATTCAAGATGACACCATTTTTATATTCGAATATAAATCATATTCAAGACAAGATTATTTTTATATTCGAATATAAATTATATTGAAGATAAGACCATTTTTATATTCAGATATAAATTATATTCAAGATGACACCATTTTTATATTCGAATATAAATCATATTCAAGACAAGATTATTTTTATATTCGAATATAAATTATATTCAACATGGTAAAATCATGTTCAACATGAGATAATTCTTTCACATACGCTTTCAACCGCGGTATGATCGAAATAGTCCTGATGACCACTCCAGAAGCCAAGATGAGAATCGAATCCCCTATAGGTAGGTGTATATTCCTTCGTGTAGAAGCCCAGATGCCATTTCCCTACGATGTGCGTGTTGTAACCAAGTTCCCGCAGATATTCCGGTAGAAGTTTCTCCCGAAGAGGAAGACCCCTCGGCTCGGCGCATTTCAGAACCTATTTCATGTGGTTCAATGTTAGACGCTCTCAGTTTTCTACGTTCATGTCGGCGATCATGTGTAATCTGACGTGGTAAAATTATTCATACAGCAGTCACGCGATTAACCTACACCGCCGAGCGAAAAATCAAGTAAAATTACTGACGAAAGTAGAGGAATCGCATAAATTACAGCGTCGCTTTTCAACACGTTCCCTGTCGTGATAAAATGACTATTAAAATCATTCCACCGAGAATACGCTGATCGGTGCATTCTCTTATTGCACTTGGACAAATGAAATCGCGAATTTTTAGAATTTTTTACAATTCTGAATCGATAATTTTAGATTATCTGATAAATCTAGATGATTTCTAGTATTAAGTTTTGTATTGTAGTGTTTTAGTTCCAAAAATCACCTAGAAATCACCTAAATATTCTGCAAACTTTCGTCTTGTGCCAATTTTGTTCAGCGAGGACATTGCTTTCTCCTTTGTTGACACGAAAATCTCTGGAGTTCGATCGTTACATTAATTAATTAATTTTCCTCGAAGTCAATGTGAAATTGTCGCGACTGAAATTCAACTAGACTTCGTTCCCCGATGAAACTTTTGTAGCACAAGTGGTCCAATAGAGGGCATAAGCTACTGCAACCCATTAATCTCCGCGCGCAACGCGTAACGCTGTCAAACGACGACAACAACAGAACAATCGACGGTCTGACGTTCACCGTTCGTTAATTCCGTCTCAAAGTAATGTCGGTCTACTTATTTGTAAGCTCGTTGTGCGTTCATGCGATCAACAGTGCGGACTCTCGTTTGCTACCCCTGGCAGACAGCGTTCCACTTAAACAGTAGACCGTCAACAAAACTTCTTCGGCGCGCGTTCATTTTTACACTAACGTTATATTTAATACATAACATTATTTAACACGTTCTCGGACGTGAATGGTGTAGCGATCACTTTGCGATGCAAAATGACATGAATGCTATAACATTGAAATTTCTGAGCCACATTGTCATGAATTTCGACATTTTGTAATTATTATGCACTAACCCTTTGAACTCTCTAGGCTCCAATATCAAATATTTTAACGAATCAAAGGAACTACCCTAAAATTATTAGATTTTCCACGCATCCAAATTTTATACTAAGGAAAATAAAATATCTAAAGAATGTTACAGTATTTATTTTCACTAGAGATACCATAAAAATTAGTCGCAGTTGCTGATAAATTACAAAACCATCTGGAGTGCTAAGGGTTAACTATCGAAGTACGGCATTTGCATTTTTCCTATTTTTGCGGCTCATTAAAATTTCTACTGCCCGTGAACGTGTAGATATTCATCTGTTTGACCGAACGCTGTTTGTCAGCATATTCCAGCCCTGTTTACGTACTCCATGTTGCATTCCGATGTTGATGGGATGCTTGCCGGTCATCAGAGCGCTGCGAGATGGTGTGCAGATCGGACTCACGTAATACTTGTCCAGAATAATCCCGGAATACGCGAGTGCGTCGATGTTCGGCGTCGGGACCTGCCCAGAACCGTGAAAACCGACGTCGTTCCATCCCTGCGAATTTCTTTAATTTTCATCCTTCGACTCGTGAATTCTATTCGTTCTTTTATGAAACCAGTTTGATAGAATTTAATTAATTAATTTATAGCCTGTCCTGTGACTGATAAGATTGAACTTCCTTAAATATAATCTATACGCAATCCATAAATTGACAGCCGATTGTTGTACAAGGAAAGATAAGTAAAAATCTTCATTGTAAGACTACTGCAATCTAATTATTACAGAAAAAGATATTAAAAAGATAACGGCATCTAAACCAACGACTGACAGCTACTGCAAAACGATCGAAATCACTAAGAGTCGTAAAAACGTGTCTCACCAAGTCGTCCGCCAAAATAAACACAATATGCGGTCGTTCACTGGTTGCTACACAATGGCAAGCAATCGAAACTATCAGTGAAAACCACTGCACCGCTTCCTGGTTCCCGATCATCCTGCAGGATCTCAGACTGCGACTTGGCCTTGCGAACATCCGCAAACTAGTTTCCTCGCGGGGCTATTGTTTTCGTCCATTTAACGTCGCAGTCTCTAAGGTTCTCACACGAGCACTTTCTCGAATTTTAATCGATCGTTGTATACCTCCGACGCCTAATTATCAGGTAGTAACATAAATGCGGCTGGAAGTAAGAACGTCTTAATTTAGAGGATTCAGCTATGACTTGTCGCAAACACTCGTAACTGTAACGAACGAGACGCCATTTCTAGCCAAAAAACACTATTATTCCACTGTATCCCGAAGCTACCAACGAACAACGTATTTATGTTACAACCCAGTAATCTACAATGAAGTACGGTAGAACGTCGCTTATCATAACCAGTATCGAGGTCACGTAACACTGTTTACACTTCAAGACACGTATCAATCGACAAATAAAGTCAAACTAATCAATTCATTCGAACGGTACAGTCACGATTAATAATCATCTTTGCACCTTCGGTTTTCCTCGACGAGAACCCAAGAAATCGACTACAGAAACCCGGGTACTCGAAATAATAGACGTTCTACTGTATCGAAGAATCCGCGAGTCGTCCTCTAATTTGAATCCGGGGAAAAGTGACGCGGCACCGAGCAAACGAGCGCGACGCGACGTCCGCTTTCTCTTCCGTTCGAAATCAGCGCGAGAGACCGAGCACTGGGGCCAGCGGCCGGTGCTCAACTGTCTCGAACATGTCTCTTTGATGGTGGGGCGAAGCCTGGCGGCTTTGATGATCTGTCTACACCGCCGCTGGAAGGACGAGATACCAAAGAGTGTCGGTCGTTGACACCGTGAAATTTGAATCTAATTATCGCTAACTCGCCGTAGCACCTCGAGGAGAAGCTCCGCCTCGCCGCGGCCGCCGCCCGCCATCTTGTCGGTGTCACGCGGTCCGTCACGCCATCCGCGCCGCGCGAAAATTGCACGCGCCGTCCGAATGGAAATTCGTCGATTTAGATGATTATCTGAATAATGGACACCCCGTATAAATGCGGCTGGCATTCGACAATGGTGTTAGTGTCCTCTTTGCTTCCCGACCGTGGCGAATAACAATTCAGTTTCCCTCGAACGATCGGCGATTTTCTGGGTCGCTTTGGAAAACTGGAACGTTTTTAACGGGCAATTTGTCCGACCGATTTAGAACGATCTTAATTGCCGAGGAGACCGTTTAGGATGTTTTGTTGTCTAAGAAGCTTCACGCACGGCCAAGATTGAATTTTATTACCGCCACTTGACTCTCCGCTGCGCCGGGGCAACAAGGATTCAATTTGTTCCATAGGGTTCCAGTCGATCGTGCAGCAGAATTAGCTGCTGCCTTGCATTCGAGGCGGACTCCGTTAATTGCACGGCATTAACATAACCAGTTCGCGAAGGAGGCTTAAATCGGAGACATGAGCGGAGGCGGCTGGGACATTGTCTTGCCGGTCTCCGCGCTGATGATCAATGCGACCGCGGGAGGCAAGGTCACTTACGATGACTTGGTCGAGGGAACGGTATATAGATCGCGAAACTTCATTAATGCCGAATCTTCTTCGTTCTTTAAACTCGACGCGTTCCTTTAACGCGTTGACTGCCGATCACTTCATGATGTGTTCGTAATTACTGCCTCGCCGTACAAACGAGTTTTTCCCAGAAGACTTACTTTTTATAACAAATACGATTGAAAAGTGGTTATAAAACATGATTATGTATATCATACTGATTACTAAGTAACATTTAGACCTTTCGAAGCATCACTCCACTCACACCGATGCGAGATCAGCAGCGAACGTGATCTAGGAACTCTAACAAACAAAACTAAGCAGAACAAGGAAGAAGAAATCAGTCATAATTTCTAGCAATTCATAGACTCAATGAAGTGTACAGTGTTACATTTTCAGATCAACATCTTCCGGAGTTGCATAACGTTCGACAGAAGCAACGCATTTCTGCTGGCCGGCGAGTACGATGATTTCCTGCGACGATCGAGCCTCGAGGACACACCACTGGCTCTGATCGCGGAATCGAAATTCTCCGCGTTCGATCTGTTCGCTTCGAGCAGATACTCGTACACGGTTTTCAAGCGGCACAACTTCGTGCATCTGCTGTGGAAGCTGAACCAGTTCGCGGTGATCGCTTCTTCGCAGCCCTTATTGAGGCAGTTGCTGCAGAGGATAAAGGACTCGACGTGGTCCAACTTCAACGGCTTCCATGTTCTGATCGACAGGAGAACCGAGGAACGCGGCTGCGCGGATGCTTACAGATTCCTGTGGACCGCCTGGGAATACGACCTCATCAATTCGATTTTCTTGTGCGTCGATCCCGCCGAAGGAATCGTTGTCTACGCTTACGATCCTTTTTCCGGTAGAGCGCCGGATGGCTGGCAAGCCGCCGGCTATTTTAAAGGGCGAAGCGGACATCCTTGGGTACTTTTAAAGAGGAAATATCAAGATGGTATATACGTTCGGCTCACTATGAAGCGCTAAATGCATTCTTTGAAGTATGGGCGGAAATTGAAGTCGCATAGACGTCTGTATAAAATATCGCGAATTTTGGAAACAATGGAATTTTCGTTATATGGTTGATACTATCGCTGTGTAGAGATATTCAAACGAGTAATAAACTTTTCTATCTGTTGCTGGAATATTGAATATTAAAATGTTACTAGAATATCTTAAGAATTTTGAGATCTCCATACTTAAAGGTTGAAATGTAGAAAGAGATTATATTTGAACTGCAATGCACAGTACTTTCTAGGACACGTCTCTTTTAGATAATTATTTAAACATACTTGAAATTTCTACTACTATGTTACTATCAATTCCTGACAATCTCCAACCATTCAATTCACTTTCAATCCGAAAATGTAACTTTCGTTCGAATTTAACTTAGCCCTTTGCGGACGAACGTCGACACTTCGGCGAGATCAAATTTCCTTATTTGGAAGAGTAAGTCGCGAATGATTTTATTACTCAAACAGCGAGAGATCTGTGTATAATTTCTTTTCTTTCTATCATTTAAGCAATCGATGTATAATTTAACTTCATCTGCTGAAGGTTTCGCATATTTCAAAGAATCTTCGTCCGCAAAGGGTTAATATAATGAAATCACATCGGCAAATAAACTTCTCAAACTTTTTCCCCAAATCCCCTGTTACTCTGCTTATCTAAGCGTCCGAATCTAACTTTCATGAACAATGTCGTAGGGATGCAGATGTGTGAGAACCTATGGTTCGACAAGACGAAGGACCTGAACGGGTACGAGGTCAGAATGCACGCGATCGCGTACGAGCCTCATCTGAAGATAGACCTTGATAAGCCAGGCTTGGACAAATTCACCGGCGACAACAGCGAGATCGTGAAAATAGTGTTCGACAAGCTGAACGCGACCCTGAACGTGGCCGTGCATAATGGCAGCGAAGCCTACGAACTCGGCGGCATCGGGTCGGACGGGACCATGGTGGGAATGTTGGCGGACGTGGCCTCTGGCCAGGTGGACATGGGCATGAACGTGAGAACGTTGCACGCGATATGGAGGATCGGGTACTGGTTCCTGTTCATTTCCACACGGACAAATAGAGCAGGTTTCACTGGGAAAGCCTCGTTTTCAGGAAAATTCCTTTGTGAACGTAACACTGGAAGAATTGACACATTGATTGACCCTTTGAACACTGTAGGTTCTAGTATTGCACCAGTTATAAATTCTATACAATTCTATCCAAAAGATTAACAACATCTTTACATTATTTTCATATATTTCAGTGTTATAACATTTCTCAGACCTTTTGTTTTCCTTCTCAGTACGAGATTTGGATGTGTGGAAAATTTGATGATCTTGGGGTAGGTTTTTTGAGATTCATTCAAATATTTAATGTTTTAACTGGTTCAATATTGGAGTTTACAGAGTTCAGAGGGTTATGATAAAAGTGGTTGATGGAGAAGATAAGGGTGTAGATGTTTAATGTCATGATGTTTGAATTTCATTTTCATACTTCAAAGTGGCTATTTTTAAGCATTGAATGGTGTTAGCTCATTTCCACGTAGAAGATGAGAATTGAGTTTTCTGTGGTCTGCGGTAATTAATTTGAAATTGATTCGCTACGTATATTTTTTATTCGCTGAGTATATTTACTGCTGAAAATGTAGGAACTTCATCTTCAGACTGCAAAGTGACTATTTCTAAAACATTGAATAATGGTGTTACATAATTTCCACGTAGAAAATGAAATTTGAGTTTCCCGTGCTCTATGATCATTAATTTGGAATTGATTTTCTACGTATATCTTTTATTCGTTTAGTATATTTACAGCTAAAAATGTAGGAACTTCATTTTCAAACTGCAAACTGACTACTTCTAAAACATTCAATGGTGTTAGATAATTTCCACGTAGAAAATGAGAATTGAGTTTTTAATGCTCTATGCTAATTAATTTGAGATTGATTCTCTACGATGACTGTTCAGGAACACCTACCCGCACGGTCAAGATGGGCTTTGCGTTATCACGCGGCGATCGGGGCATATTTCGGAGTACATTAAGATCCTATCGTTCATATCACCGGAAGTGATCATAGGAAACATCGTCGTCTTCGTGATCACCCTACTGGTGCTCGCTAAATACCAAGGCTTCCAATCGGCAAGCTTGAACGTGATTCGCTTGCTCACCTGCGTGTCTATGCTCCGAATGCCGCATCACACCGCGTACAGAATTTTGCTCAGCAACGTGTTATTGCTGATTCTCATCGTGAACACGTTGCTGCAAAGCCATTGGGCCTCTTTGCTCACTGCACCTGTGTCTTTGCCGAATATTAGGACCGCAGAAGATCTCAAGGTAAAACAATTATAGCATAATATTATTAGAAATAGAATTGGCAATGAGTCATCCATGGATTTAACTAATTATAATTGATAAAATTAATAAAATTTAATAAGTTCAATAAAATTAATCATTGATTTGACCCAAGAACATCGTAAAATTGAAAATCCAATATTAAATTCTATATAATGTACGAACACATGGAACATCGAAATAAAATAGTTCACTTAATTTATACAAGCTATTTCTTTATTTATCGAGAAAAATATTCTCCAGTGCAAAGGGTTAATTAATCACTCGTCTGCGTCTTAGTCTCCCAAATATTCGTTACATCGAACTATCGACGTTCGTCAGCAAAGGGTTAATTTCTCATTCAAAATTTCTCCACCCTAATGTCTTCGTTTTTGATCAGGCGTCGAACTACAAGATATACGGGTCCTGGTACTACGCGGAATGCATACACGACCCAAAGCTGCGAGCCCGTTACCACGGCGTCGACAATTATCGCGAATGCAAAGAGCAAGTGCTCCGAACTCCTTCCACCGCGTGCCTCGACGATTGCCTGCATCTGTACGTGGGCCTGGACACGAAACGATTCTACCGGTCCAGATGGATACAGCACAGCGTGCAGGTGTACCCGACGAGGGAGAATTGGCCGTTGTTCAATCGAGTCTCGTATCTGATACGCGGCACGGTGGAGGCCGGTCTGGTCAGGATGTGGAAGAAAGCGAGTCTGCGACAGATATACCTGAATTGGAAACGGAGGCAGCTGGACGACAACAAGAAGTTCCGGACCGTGGAATTGAAGCACATCACTTTCGGATTTTACATACTTGGCGTCGGGAATACTTCCGCCGCTCTCGTTTTCCTCGTTGAGCTGGCAATTGGAGCATACAGGCAGTGCAGGGGATAGGATTATTGAATGGTAATGAAAAATGATAATCTATTAGTATATTTATAGCTGCGAATGTAGGAATTTCATTTTTGAACTTCAAAGTGACTATTTTTGAAGCGTTGAATATTGAGATCATTTGCACGTAGATGAAACTTGAGTTTTCTGTGCTCTATGGGCCGAATTCTGTTTCGTAATCATAATAAAATTTATGCAGTATGAAATTAATAATATTAACATATAAACACAAATAAAAATGTATTCAATAGTTTTAATAGTTTTATTGAAATATATTTTGTAATTTGAAGTTACAATGACGTTGAACGTAACGCCTTAATGTCATTCGTCGTTTTGCAATAAAAAGTTGAATAAATCAATTTAACCCAGTCTATTGATGCGTGACTTCAAAGTCACACGGGCTTATAGAGGGTTAATTTGAAAAAATTAATGAAAAAATTTACCCTACTGAATTGCTTTTACCTTTAAATGGTACAATTGTGATGCTACAAATATAGAAAAAATTGTTAAATAGAGGTTGCAATAAAATAGAATGTCGAGTCTGACTCATAGGACTGCTAATGGTTAATAAACATGGATGCTCGCGTAAAATAATCTAGTCGTACAATCGAAGTGAATTTCCTTCAACCCCAAACAGAACGTTATCGCGAAGTTGTGTCCAAACATTCGGTCCATCCGCTAAAATCGTAAACCCATTAAAATAGTCACAATTAGAACAGCAAACTACACTCCGAAACTACCGTGTCCCGAGGAGCTAAACCGTTTCCAGGTCAAACTAACTGCGGCAGCCTGGACTTCCCGAAAACAGGGACACTGGGGAGACACACGATAAAAGCTGCGGGTCTGCACATCCCTCCGAGCCTGACGATCGATGCCAGTGCAGAGGGTTCCGCGAAATTGGCCGGGGTGGACGGGACGGTCGTCGGACTGCTTTGGTCGAAACTGAACGTCAGCCTGCAATTAACTGGAATCACGAATAGCGCCCATTACCACGAGTTGCTGCCGTCAGTGGCCAACGACGTCCTCTTAAACAGCACATCTTCAACGAGCCGGACATGTCCACCACGTATCCCCATCTAAACTCGAGGATAAGTATCTTCGCGAAATACCCGGAGAACGAGGCGACACACGAGAAGATAAACTTCGTGAATCCCCTATTCATCTTAGCAGTGATCCTGGTCCGCCTAGGCACCGTAGCGTTCATCTGAATATTCACCGGTCAGGACATCGCTGAAGCTAGCCTAGAGGTGCTAAGAATGACTGTAGGCAACTCGATGATAGAGTTTCCTTCAGGATCTACCTGATCGTGTCCCTGCTGTTCATGCTGACTTCGAGCTGCCAGAGCAACCTGTCGTCTTTGCTGACGTCGCCTAGTCCGAAGCCTGGGCCTCGGGGGCTCTTTGGTGGCGTTCCTCTTGGAGATCGCAACGTGGAGATCGCGGAGGATCGTTGAGAGGAAGGGCGAGAGGTCGGCCATGTTTGCTTTCCTGCCCTGACGAGAGGATTCTTCTGTTCAGAGAGATTTATTGTACTAATTAGGAGTTGTAACACTGGGACCGCACAACAATCCCGCAAACTGTGTTTCTAACGCTAGACTCGTGGCACGTCGGCCATGTTTGATTTTCTACTTTAATTCTAGTTCCTTTGTTTTGTAGATTATTACGATACCGCTAGATTTAGGGAACTATGTAGATAAAGTAGCACCGCGCGTGAAAAATATTTATATGTAGCACCATCAGGATGATCTCGAAGTATCCTAAGATCGATGATAATAAAAAGTAAAATGAAAGAATTCAGAATACAATGGATCAACGATAATCACATGACGAGAGATGAAACCTACTGGAGACAGGATTCGCAACGGGGGGTGCATTGAAGACTATCTTATAATTGGTCAATATTTTATTTATTCCTTCACTTTAGTTTAAACAATTTGTTCATTCGAAGGATCTCGTAAATCCCAGTAACTGAATATGTTATAGTAAATACGTTCCTTTTTACAATTTATACCATATACACAATAATAGTAGTAGTAGTAATAATCATAATAATAATAATAATAATAATAATAATAATAATAATAATAAAATTAATAATAAAATTAATAAGAATAATAATAAGAATATAATGATAATGACGATGATGGTGAATAATTAATAATAATAATATTAATAATAATAATATGTATAATAATAATCATCAGATTAATCATAATGCAAGCC